AGCCTGGAGGAACTGGGGGACCAGTAGAGCAGCCTGGAGGAACTGGGGGGGCCAGTAGAGAAGGCCGGAGGAACTGGGGGGCCAGTAGAGCAGGCTGGAGGAACTGGGGGGCCAGTAGAGAAGGCCAGAGGAACTGGGGAGCCAGAGCAGGCTGGAGGAACTGGGGGGCCAGTAGAGCAGGCTGGAGGAATTGGGGGGCCAGTAGAGCAGGCTGGAGGAACTGGGGGGCCAGTAGAGAAGGCCAGAGGAACTGGGGAGTCAGAGCAGGCTGGAGGAACTGGGGGGCCAGTAGAGCAGCCTGGAGGAACTCGGGGGCCAGTAGAGCAGGCTGGAGGAACTGGGGGGCCAGTAGAGAAGGCCGGAGGAACTGGGGAGCCAGTAGAGCAGGCTGGAGGAACTGGGGGGCCAGTAGAGTGGCCTGGAGGAACTGGGGGGCCAGTAGAGCAGCCTGGAGGAACTGGGGGGCCAGTAGAGCAAGCTGGAGGAACTGGGGGGCCAGTAGAGCAGCCTGAAGGAACTGGGGGGCTCTTCGGAATGAGTCAGGAGTGGGCAGCTGACCCGGGACCTTTCCAGGGACAGTTCAAACCCTCAGTGCCCCAGGAGGAGGTTCAGGAGCAGGAGGTGTCACATGGCACGTGCCACCCCTCTGGTGCTCTCAGGAGAGGGACTACAGAAGTTGGGAAATATGGATGGACTGGGTCATGACCATCCACCCCCCAGGGTTTCTCCAAGGACATCAAGGTGCCCAAAAGCCGATACCTGGGCTACATCAAGGACTACGAGGGAGCGACACTGATGGAGTGTGAGCTGAATCCCCGCATCCCCTACACAGAGCTGTCCCACATCATCAAGAAGCAGAAAGAGGTGGTGTGCGCATGTGCGCATCTGTGGGAGTTTTCATGAATGTGCATGTGGAGGGCGAGCGCACGTGTGTAGACCTGTACTACCTGTACATGCGTGTATGTGTGTGTGTGAGTGAGGAGGGGACAGGCCAGGATCTTGGTTCTTGCTCTGCTCCCTTGGGGAAGGTATGAGGGGAGGTGCTGGATTAGGTGGCATTGCATCTGGGTGGGTGCAGCTGGTGGCTCTGACTGTGGCCCTGGGAGGGGTTGTTGCTGGGGCTGGAGCTGGCCCCTTAGACCCTTCCTTCCCTCAGATCATCAAGAAGCTGATTGAGCGCAAACAGGCCCAGATCCGCAAGGTCTACCCGGGGCTCAGCTGCTTCAAGGAGGGCGTGAGGCAGATCCCTGTGGAGAGTGTCCCTGGCATTCGTAAGCAGAGGTCTCGGTTGCGGGGTAGTGGGGGCACGCTGCTTGGGGTGCAGACCGGCATTCTTAGAGACATTCTCCCACTTCCCACTTTGCAGGAGAGACGGGCTGGAAGCCGTTGGGGAAGGAGAAGGGGTGAGTGTTTTGTCAAAGGAGCCAGGCTGGGGGCGGGGCAGAGGGACTCGGAGCCTCAGACTTGGTGTGTCTCGCCCCAGGAAGGAGCTGAAGGACCCCGACCAGCTCTACACAACCCTCAAAAACCTGCTGGCCCAAATCAAGGTGGGGAGACCAGGTTGCCTTTCCGGGGCCCCTGCACCAATGGCTGTGGCCTCTTGATGCAGTGTGAGGTGGGTGGCGTTCTCGGGCTGGCGTGGGTGCAGCAGGGCTGTCCCCAGCTCGGCTCTTCTCTCCAGTCGCACCCCAGTGCCTGGCCCTTCATGGAGCCTGTGAAGAAGTCGGAGGCCCCTGACTACTACGAGGTCATCCGCTTCCCCATTGGTGAGGACCCTCCATTCCATCTCCTTCCCCCCTCTTCCAACCCCATACCTGCTCCTGCCCTCACTGTGCCCTGCAGCCCCATGGGGCCCACCCCGGTGGACAGCCCTGCCATGGTCCTCAGCCTCTTAAAGCTGTGCTCCGCCTCCTGCTGCCCCAGACCTGAAGACCATGACTGAGCGGCTGCGAAGCCGCTACTATGTGACCCGGAAGCTCTTTGTGGCCGACCTGCAGCGGGTCATCGCCAACTGCCGCGAGTACAACCCCCCGGACAGCGAGTACTGCCGCTGCGCCAGCGCCCTGGAGAAGTTCTTCTACTTCAAGCTCAAGGAGGGAGGGCTCATTGACAAGTAGGCCCAGCTTTGGGCCACAGCCCTGACCTTGAATGTCTCCATCTCGGATTCTGATCTGATCCTTAGGGGATGCCCTGGCCCCACGGACCCAACTCAGCTTGAGACACTCTAACCAAGGGCCCTCCGGCCCCTGATCCTGCATCCCTTTCTGGACCTTCAGGCACCCCCAAGCCTGCAGCTCTGTCCCAGCCTTCACTGTGTGTGAGAGGTCTCCTGGGTTGGGGCCCAGTCCCTCTAGAGTGGCTGGTGGCCAGGGATGAACCTTGCCCAGCCGTGGTGGCCCCCAGACCTGGTCCCTAAGAGCTTTGGAGGCTTGGATTCCTGGGCCTGGCCCAGGTGGCTATTTCCCTGAGGACCAGGACTGCTCATTTTAGCTTGAGTGATGGCTTCAGGGGTTGGAAGTTCAGTCCAAACTGGAGGGGGCCATGCCTTGTCCGGTACTGTACTGTCAGTCTCCCCCGGGGTGGGGGTATGGGGACCATTCATTCCCTGGCATTAATCCCTTAGAGGGAACAATAAAGCTTTTTATTTCTCTGTGTGATTGTTTCTTTGGTATAGTCCCAGCCTTAGCAGGCTCACCTTGGCTCCCCAGGGACCTCTTGCAAACTGGAGGCTGCACTCCCCAGCAAGCCTCAGACCTGGTCCTGTGCTACACCTGCCCTCTGCGCAGCCCAGGTCTCACGTGCTCTAGTCAGGCAGACCTACCTGGCTGCAGCCCCCCACCTCTTCCCTCCTCCAGGCTGCTCCTGATCCAGATGCCAGGGCAGCAGGGGTCAGAACCTCCTGACTTAACCTTAACCTGGGTGGACATGGTTACAACTGACCGCAAAAGGGCCAAAGCGTAGAGGATCCCGTAGCAGTGAAAGAGTGCTTCCCTGTTAGCACACATGGGGCTTTTTCTCGGGCAGGGATGGGAGATTCCTAAATCGGCTCAGCTGGCTCCTCCCCTCAGTTTCAGTTTCCATTTCCGATTTCTGCTGTCTGCGCTGAGCACAGCGGCACCAGGCTGAGCTAAACAGGGCCGCCCTGGGCAGGCCTACCTGGTGGTGCAGGTGAGACCCGGGCTGGACAGGGGGCAGGTGTAGCCTGTGTTACTCCCACCCCCACCTTTTGGCCAGAGCAGTCTCCTGAAGGGTTTTGAGGGTGTCCTCCCCCACCTCCCTCAAGTGTGGTGGAGTCCTGGGCAAAGGGAGGTCTCTGTACCGACCAGTCTGGCCAGGAGTTGGGATGAGTGGAGGGGCCAGTGGGTCTGAGTCCCCTGCCATTCCCAGAATGGAGCTGTGGCCCTGCCAATGGGAGGTGATCATGCCTGCCACGGCACTGGCGCAGCGGCAGTACTCGTCCCGGAGTTTGTGCTCGCGGCAGTTGGCGATGACTGTTAGCACAAACGGTTCTTTTTTATTGGTTCTTTTTCCCGGGACGGGGATGGGAGATTCCTAAGTCGGCTCAGCTGGCTCCTTCCTTCAGTTTCAGTTTCCATTTCGGGTCTCTGAGCTGAGCACAGCAGCACTAGGCTGAGTTAAGTGGGACTGCCCTGGGCAGACCTACCAACTAGAGCAGGTGAGACCTGGGCTGGGCAGGGGGCAGGTGTAGCCTGTGTTACTCCCGCCTCCCGCTTTTGGGCAGAGCAGAGTCCTGATGGGTTCTGAGGGAGTCCTGCCCCACCTCCTTCAAGTGGGGTGGAGTCCTGGGCAAAGGGAGGTCTCTGCACGAACCGGTCTGGCCAGGAGTTGGGAGGGGTGGAGGGGCCGGTGGGTCTGAGTCCCCCGCTATTCCCAGAATGGAGCTGCGGCCCTACCAATGGGAGGTGATCATGCCTGCCCTGGAGGGCAAGAATATCATCATCTGGCTGCCCACGGGGGCTGGGAAGACCCGGGCGGCTGCTTATGTGGCCAAGCGGCACCTAGAGACTGTGGATGGAGCCAAGGTGGTTGTATTGGTCAACAGGGTGAGTGGTCTGTCCCTGCCCCACTCCCCCACCACCAAGCAGGGTCTCAGCTCTTCAGGCATCTCTCAGTCCCCGCCAGAACTCCAAAGCTGCTGTGGCCATCCCTAAGCTCACCTGTCTTTCCACCCCGGCTCAGTACCCAGCCATGCCCTGCGGGTCACCTTACCTCCCCCGCACTTCCCTGGCCCCAGATTCAGCTTTCTCTTCCCAGCTCATTCTCCACCTCCAGGTGCACCTGGTGACCCAGCACGGTGAAGAGTTCAGGCGCATGCTGGATGGACGCTGGACCGTGACAACACTGAGTGGGGACATGGGGCCACGTGCTGGCTTTGGCCACCTGGCCCGGTGCCATGACCTGCTCATCTGCACAGCAGAGCTTCTGCAGATGGCACTGACCAGCCCCGAGGAGGAGGAGCACGTGGAGCTCACTGGTGAGGGCCATGGCCAGGAGGAAAAGGATATGCATCTGGGGTACTTCCTCCTGCCAACCCCAGGGCACCCACCGGAATCAAGGTGTTGGGAGTTTTTGTGGGAGTGGAGGGTTGCCTGTTCACAAAACCCCAGCAGACACTCTAGTAGAAACAGGCCGGGCTATAGTATAGGATCTTAGACAAGTCCCTTCCCCAGCTGAGCCTCGGTTTACTAATCTGTGAAATGGAGAGAAATCATCCCTGCCTGGCTCTCCATCCTGGGACACAGCTGCAAGTCGTGAAGGGAAGAAGGAATTCTTAAGACTATTGTGGGGACTACCTGAAAGCTGATGGGAGGAAGGGCTTTGCAAACACAGGTCACAGCCTTCCTCCCTGTGCCCTCAGCCTTCTCCCTGATCGTGGTGGATGAGTGCCATCACACGCACAAGGACACAGTCTACAACGTCATCATGAGCCGGTACCTAGAACTTAAACTCCAGAGGGCACGGCCCCTACCCCAGGTGCTGGGTCTCACAGCCTCCCCAGGCACTGGCGGGGCCTCCAAGCTCGATGGGGCCATCGACCACGTCCTGCAGGTCAGCCTGGCCCCTGTGGGCCTCCCACTGCCAGACCCACCAGGAACTTCCCTCCCTCCCTCCCTGCCTGCCCTGCCACTACCCCATCCCCACCAGTCCTACCAGGCTGTCCATGGCAGTGTCTGGCCCCTTCCTCGCCTAAGATCCAGCCTCCAGTGGTTTCTTATGGCACAAAGAATTAACTCCCAACTCTACTATGGTTTACAAAGTTCCACATGATCTACCTCTCCACCTCATTTCCTGCGCCCTCCCTGTTGTAGCTCATCCTATAGCTACACTGGCCTGCCTTCTGCATCTTGAACATGCAGGGCTTGTTCCCATCTCGTGACCTTTGCACTTACCATTTCTTTTGCCTGGAATGCCCTTCCCTTTGAACTTTACCTGCTGCTTCCTCCTTGTCGTTCATTGAACAGCTTAATGCCACCTCTTGAAAGTCCTCCCTGATCACCCCCTGTCATGTCATCCAGTGCTATCCTCTTCAGAGCTTGTTAACGTGCTCTGCAAGGTT